GTCAGGATCCCGTAGGAATGATGACTCAGTTTATCCAGTGAGCTGATTGTTCTGTTCAGTTTCAATTAAAAGGTTCTTCCCACGTCCACAGGGTCACTTCCCCTGGCCCGATGCTTCCCAATGGACGGACGAGGAGCTCGGAATTCCACCAGATGACGAAGAATAAGGTGATTTCCTCAGTTTCCTTTAAATGAGTACGGGTTTTTTTCTTTCTTGCATGAGATATAGACAAGGGTTGGCTCACTTCCTCTCAACTGATTTTTATTGTCTTTTATTTTTAGGTCACCATGAGGGATTCGAGCTGCTGGGAATGTTTTTTTTTTGGAAATCTTCAGGATATTCTTAAAGCTATTGTTCTACGTAAGACTAATAAAAGCTTCTGTAAATATGTTAACCTGTTGACTTTTTAATGTAAAACCGCAGTATAACCCAAATTACAATTTTACAGCTAGTGTGTAAAATTATTATTAGATCAAATTAGTAGTTAGATTGGGATTGACAAGAAGACAAGTATGTTATTTCATTAGTTTTATTTACACGCAATTTTTGAAATGCAGAAACAAAATGCAATGCATTAACAGTGTCACAGTTAGCCAGTGTTTGTATATTTTAAATCATAAGCCATTTAAATCTGGAAAAAACCATTGCAAGAACCAACACACAACACAAATGCCAAGAGAGCTGCATATAAAAGCAAAAAGGGACAGATCCTGTACGATGAATACTACAGCTTATAACAAACCCTGCCTGCGGGCCAGCTCCTGTGTTTTCAATGACTTGACATGCAAAGAGTTCAAAGGTTGAAGTGTAGTGTAAGAAAAAAAAGGGGGGGGCTTCATTCTGGCAATGTGATTAATACTACTTTCGTAAATTGGTTCTCTGTGTTAAGATTATGTGAAACACCTCATCAGGGCTGAAAGATTGATCACACAGTCACTCGCAGGTCACGTGCACTACAAATCAACCTGAGCAAAGCTTTCAAAGTCTCACGCTGTTAAAAGAGTGGTCTTAAAGCTACTTGGCAACAGTTAGCCTGGGTGTCACGTGTGTGTGAGAGAACTTAACGAGGGTGTTTTCTCTGTAACACTGGGGTGAAAGTGTGTTGAGAAGCAGTGGGGGACAATACCAAATTAATGTTAACAGAAGTTGTAGAAGTTAGCCTGAAAAGGTACAAGGACTGACTGGTTAAAGCACAGCTTATCATTACAATTTGAAAACCACGACCAGGAAATCTTCTCTTTTTTTGAGCAATGAAAAACAAACAAACCTCAGCAACTCCGAAGCACGAAGAGGTGAATCTTTTAAAGTCTTGAGGGAGTGCTGAGAGCATCCTGTCTGCATCCATGACGTGGCTGGTGGTTAATCGAAGGTTATGTCCATGGCATCATTCCCTGAGAGTGAAGAACTGCGCACCCCGAGCAAAATACACATCAGCACTGGCATTGTTTTGTTTTTTTAAGAAAAAAAGGAAAAAACCTCACTCATCCCATTGAAGTTCCTCAAACGTTCACTTCTTCTGAATGCATCGACTACTTTGGATCGACCACAGTGGCTCAAAATACTTTTTTTTTTTTGCTAAATGGTAAGTGGCACTAGTTGAAAAAGCTCAGGTGTAGATATGGAAGTTGACGTTTCTCAACCTAACCTAGTTTCTATTCGCACATAGCCCCAACACCTCTGGCTACAGGGAGAAGAGGAAACCAGAACAGACAAGAATCAACACTGGATCTATTCAACTGGGTAATGGGGGGGAGGCAAGGGGGAAAAAAAAAAAGTTCTGACAGAATAGAAGGTAATAAAAGATTTGTAGGTAAATTGCTACTCAACAGATGATCACATGAACTCTAAAACATCCACATTTACAAAAAGTATGTGTTAAAGATTTAAAAAAAGAAGAGAAAAACCCCTGTAAAAGAAAAACAACCACCCTCAGAATAGCTTAGGGTCCAAATATAATAAAATCATTATCTCTTTCAATTAATAAATACATCATTCAGAATCCATAAAAATAACACATTAAAAAAAAAAAAAAATATCAACACAGATAAAACGAGAATAAATTAAGCAGGATATCATGCGAGTCGTTTTCGGGGTTTTTAAAACCCGAGTGAGTAACTCGAAATTCCTATTTTAAACAAATTCAGAGAGGCAGCACTTT